TTTTAATTTTTTATGTAATTGAATTTGTGTAAAGGACTTTTCATCTAACAGACTTGTCCCTTGCACAAATCAAGTCTGTTAGACGGGGGTTGACTGTATTTCAAAATTCCTGTAAATATATATATATGTATTTTATTTTTGGTAGATCACTGGTATTTTAATTTCCACGCAAGGTAATTTTGGCCTACTGGTACACATTTGTACAACAGTCTAAGAGGCCTGAATACCCTCTGCGAGGGGTGTTCCCCACGTGAGCTGTTGCTCCCGCAAGGTTCAGATGGGTTCTGAGGGTGGGGGATCCTGGTAGCTACATATGGGTCAGTATTTGCAGTGAAGAGAATTAGTTACAATGTAGTAACAAATGTAGACTCTAGCTGAGCTGCTGACTTATGTCCCATCCAAATTATACGTAATATGGGAGCATAAATACATTTGAGCATAAAATATTTATTTGTTCAAAAAGTAATTATGCTGCCAATTCCAAGTATTTCCAACATTATTTTCAATCGCATTTTTCTTAACATTAAATGAGCTACTTCTGGGCAAAATAAAAAAAGGGTGGACCTGAATAACTGCTGCAATCAATTTTTTTATTTTTCACACCACAATAACAATAACTGTTTGTCAATCCGATTTTTTATGTCAACTTTGCTGTCGATTTGACCCAGCTTAGGTGATCTCCTGACAATTCGTTTCCAAGACTGATCTTGTCAGATTCCGTGCAAGACACCAAAAGAGTCAGAACTCCAACAATCTCATTTTTTGTGTTCAAGATGGGTCCTCCATAATCAAACTGAAATCAATGAAAAAAATTAACACTTTTAACCAATTGTAAAATGTATTTGGATTTTTTAGATGAGAATAAAACTCACTGGACAATTTCCTGTCCCTGGGTTTGGAGTGAGGCAGATCATGTTCTGAAAAACTGTACATAATTTCAAATAAAATAAGTTTAGTTCAGTTGGTTCCCCATGAATTTGACTTACTAGTGGCTGCTGATGCTCCAAAGTCTGTTCCAGTAATTTCTGTAATCTTGGCACCACATTGTGTATCAGTAAGGTCCACTTTCTGGTCCAATGTCCTCAATCTTTGCGTTACAATTGGTTTAAGCAAAGACATTGCTGCATTAAAGTCTGTATAAAAATATGAAACAAAAATTGTAGTCAAGTGGAATTCATGGGAATAACATGTTACTATGATAAACCACTTTTGTGCAGCCAAAATACTGAATGCCATCAGGTTCAAGTTTCTTTATTTTTAAACAGTTCATAAAAAGCTTGTTTTAAAATGCTAACTTTTAAATTAATCATAAGCAGATCAAGTAAAAATAATAATTATGACCTGCAGTAATTTTTAAAAATCACTATGAATCCAACCAATCCTACTTTTCCAAAATCTCCATCACAATTGTTCAATCAATGCTGTAAATATATGTGTATTATACAGTATGTGGAAGAAATGAAGAGTTGAAAAACTGAAAATTAAGATGAATTCAAATTATTCCTGATTTTAAATGGTGAAAATTCAGAAAGTAACTTCAACAAGGTGCAGCACCAAAAAAGTTCTTTCCCTCAGTGAAAAATTGTTCCCATTGATTTTAAAAATGTATCTTCTTAAATAAATATTAGGCTCAATTCTGAGGGAATCAAAGCTCAGATCAGTTTGAAGTACATTAATGTTTTCTACACATGAACTTACCCAATCCAGACAAAGTAACATTTTGTTGCAAGCCATAACCAACACTTTTCAGGACTTGATTCCTGAAATCAGCAGTTGCAGAATTTGTGCAACACCCCTCAGTGCCTCCAGCACAGCAGGTTGTGGGCAATGCTATGGCATTCAGGTTTTGGTTGAAGTAAGGCAGTCTATCTTCTATGCCTACAACAGCCAAGTCATCTTTCACAGGGTTTGCCTTGAAGTCATAGCCTGGGTAAAATGTCTTGTTGAGAACATCCACATTGTCTCTGCCTGGGGTCTTCCAAAATGGCTTCAAAGTATGAGCCATCACATTTCTGTTGAAGAATCAATTCACCATTAATTAAAAAATAAAATTAGCAAGATCCTCAAAATTCTCATAAAACTCACATGTCAGCATTTTCAATGAAGCTGAAGCAGGAGGCGGCTGTTAGTACATAGTATCTTGACAAGAGGGAGCCACTGCATATTGGGATCCCAAACCACTTTCTCAACACCTTCACAGGCCTATAAACTATGGCAACCATGTAATTGGCCTGGGATTTCTTCATCACATCAGTTCCTCCAAGAATTCTTGCCCCAGGGTTCAAAAAATTGTAGAGACTTCTGATCCATGAAGAAATTATTTCACCTGGGGATCAAAAAATTAATTTTTGTTGGGTGCAGAGAAAAAGGGGGGTTTTATTTAAAATAAATAATTTTTTCACCTAATATGGTGGTGAAATCAAGTCCTTGGATTTGTTGAGCTTCACAAGAATCCAAACAGAAAATACCAAGTGCAAAAATGACAAACACGAAGATTTTCATGGTGACAGCGAATGTCGAGAGTGTCGACTGACTGACTGACTTGAGTATCACACCACTGCCTGTCGGTGTTGTTTTTCTCGACAGCGAAAAGCGTTGTATAAATTGTTCAGTTAAATAAGAAAAGAAAAAAAATACAAGTTTTCATGGCTGCTTCGCTGATTTCTTTTGAGGGAATGGAACATTCTTTCTTCAATTTCAAATTGTGTTTCTCGGTCGACATTTCGGGAAAGCGACGCCGTGTTGCTCTAGTTTCGAATTTTGAAAACAAGAGAATTTCTTGTGTTTGTGAGTCTTTTGTCGTGTCAAGAAATTTTGGTTTTTTTCTAAATTTTCAATATCAAGTGTCGAGACTTTTTGAAGAACTTCGAGGGCAAATTTTCTTAACAAAAAAAAAAGAGATAACATACCTTCAAAAATTTTGGGATGCAATTTTTAGTACGTGTGATAGGTGAATAATTTTTCACACCGAATTTTTCTGTACCAAATAAGAAAATGTTTTAAAACTAAATATCGATTTGAGATAAATTTGAAGGAGGAGATTCTGCATTTTTTTTTTTCAAGTTGACCCAAACTTTGCGATTTATTTGAACAAAAAAATTATCTTTAAATTGAAAAATCGACACAGCATATCTATCGATTTTTCTTCGAAGTTTTTTGCCAATTTCAGATCTTTTATTTATGCATGAATTTTTTTCGTTCCAGTGAAACTTTTCCTAATGTTTTCAATTTTTGGTATAATATTCTACAACACTTTTACAATAAGTCAAAATAAAAGCGGGAAACTTGAAAACGTTAATTCACTGTACAACTGATTCTTGTAAATTTGTTAAGGACATTTTTTTCCAATTGATTGTTGGAAATCATTATTGGGAAATTTTAATTGAAAATGACAATTTTAAAATTACCTTTTCCTGGTTGATGAGTAATTTTTGCTTTCATAAAATGCATGTCATTTAAATATATATTATTATTCATTTTTATTTTTAATAATATTTTTAACTGTGAATAAATTGAACAAAATTATAACTTGTGTAGGAAATAATGGCATAAAACTTTTCCTTTCCAAAGAACGAATTTTACTCCACAGCATCTGAATTTCATTCGAAGACACACAAAAATGAAGCACAATACGTATTCGAGAACAACCCGGAAAAATATATCCCATATTACTCTGACTGAGCAAACGTAAAAATTCAAAAAAAAAATATATATATATATATATTTACAACATACGAACATATTTACGTATACAGTACTTTTGAGCATGAGATATTCGCAATTTCGGCCCATCTATGGTTTACTTACGAAGAAATGACTAGGGATTACATGCATAGATATGTAAGGAAATTAATATGCTTTTCAAGCATCACAAGAATTGCCAAAATCAAAATTTACCGCACAAAATGTTGTGAGATGCTATGATAAAAAATTTTGGCGGTAGATTCCCATTTCCATCGAAAATTTGCAAATAGTCTGAAAACTTTTTTGAATCCATGAGAGAATCTCTTTAAATTCGGAATGTCTGTATACTCTGTATTAATTTTGGAAGAAAAGATCTTTTATGATACTGTATATATTCTTTTTCAAAAATGATAGCATTAGAAAGATACAATTTCAACAAGGAAAGCTGGAAATTTGCGAAGAACTGCTTGTAGATATTTCATCAAAATTCCTTGACTGAAAGGAATTAAAATTTCAAATTGAACTTTCATCACCCATCCCAGAAGAATAATAACTGAAAAGCGGAATTAAATTCAAAATTAAAAAGGGAACCCCTTCCGACTAAATTACGGGACCTTTTCACTCAATGATTGACCGATCATTGATTGATTTCAGAATAGAATTCTGAGCCTTTTCCTCCGCGCAAAATGAAAACAGAAATTCAACGAGGTGCATCGTAACGTTCCCCGTAGCGATGCTTTGAGTACACGACCTGGGCCAAGTGAATCTTGCGCCCTCTGAACCCGGCAGCGCTGTACAGCAAGTAATAGTCCCACATTCTATCAAAGATGTCGCCTCTCTCCTGTTTCACTTGCTCCTTCACCTTCTGCTTGGAATAATTCTCATGCCACGCCTTCAGAGTGCGATAATAGTCGTGTCCGAGCATTTGCATGTCTTCTACTGTCAACAGCATCTCGGATGATGAGCACAGAAGAGAAGGTGAAGGCAAATAACCATTCGGGAAAATGTATTTGGGGATCCAGCGTTCTTCCGCGATGAAGGGTGTAGTTCGACCTGTGATTGATTTGAATTTTAGTCAGAAAATTTCTTTAAAAAAAATTAAAATACTGTACCAGTCGTGATGCATTGAACAACAGCGATTCCACTGGGTCGAAGACTCGTTGACACGACTGTGAAGAATTCGCGAAGGTTTCGGTAACCCACGTGCTCCAAGAAGCCGACGGATACGCAACGGTCGAACGTCAGTGGAGATTCGTCTCCCGACGTTGATTTTGTTGTCGTCGAGATGTCGCTGTTGCCTTCATCGGTTTTGTAGATGGGCTTCCGATAGTCGGCCAGTACAAAGCGCACTCGACCATCTTGAGCCAGACCGCGTTTCTCCGCCAACGCCCTTGCGAACTTAATCTGTTCGAAAGAAAAATTCATGAAGATTAAATGTTTGCAATTCATGATANGAATTCTGAGCCTTTTCCTCCGCGCAAAATGAAAACAGAAATTCAACGAGGTGCATCGTAACGTTCCCCGTAGCGATGCTTTGAGTACACGACCTGGGCCAAGTGAATCTTGCGCCCTCTGAACCCGGCAGCGCTGTACAGCAAGTAATAGTCCCACATTCTATCAAAGATGTCGCCTCTCTCCTGTTTCACTTGCTCCTTCACCTTCTGCTTGGAATAATTCTCATGCCACGCCTTCAGAGTGCGATAATAGTCGTGTCCGAGCATTTGCATGTCTTCTACTGTCAACAGCATCTCGGATGATGAGCACAGAAGAGAAGGTGAAGGCAAATAACCATTCGGGAAAATGTATTTGGGGATCCAGCGTTCTTCCGCGATGAAGGGTGTAGTTCGACCTGTGATTGATTTGAATTTTAGTCAGAAAATTTCTTTAAAAAAAATTAAAATACTGTACCAGTCGTGATGCATTGAACAACAGCGATTCCACTGGGTCGAAGACTCGTTGACACGACTGTGAAGAATTCGCGAAGGTTTCGGTAACCCACGTGCTCCAAGAAGCCGACGGATACGCAACGGTCGAACGTCAGTGGAGATTCGTCTCCCGACGTTGATTTTGTTGTCGTCGAGATGTCGCTGTTGCCTTCATCGGTTTTGTAGATGGGCTTCCGATAGTCGGCCAGTACAAAGCGCACTCGACCATCTTGAGCCAGACCGCGTTTCTCCGCCAACGCCCTTGCGAACTTAATCTGTTCGAAAGAAAAATTCATGAAGATTAAATGTTTGCAATTCATGATAAGGATGCAACTTATGAAATTTCCCTGGAACTTTCTTTCTCCGAATTGGTGATTGGGCTATACATGTTTGGATACCAAGTATTCAATTGAATAATCTTTGGAGATGCTGTAAATGTGAATTGAAAGGCCATCAGGCATTTCGAAATGCCTGATGCCTTTTTGCATACCACTTTTCATATAACTACAGTATGTCAAATTTGTTTGAAACTTTTAGTCATTTCACAAAATATTATTGGAGGATTAAAAGTGAATTGCTTCAATCATATTACAGTACTAACAGTGTGCTGAAACCTGATGCTTAACATCATTTCTGAACTTTTTTTTTATTTATTTAGGTATTATTTTCAGAATGATGGGCCCTCATAGTTTAGTTGGCAAACTAAAACTGTTGTACCTAAAATACTGTACTTAAATTTTGAAGAGGACCTATCAAAAAACCTTTTTATGCATATACAGTACATTGATAAAGCTGAGTAGCCAACAATTTTTTGCTCATTTAAAGAAGATTCTCAACCAATACTGAATTTCACCCTTGATTTTTATGATCTGTATTCTGTCTGTTATATTTGAGTAAAACAAATGAACAATTTATTTGCTGTAGGTGCATTTCTGGGGATAGTAATAATTTATTTTGTGAATGCTGGAAAAATCCCCAGGAGTGTAAAGAACATTTGTACTATATACAGTAGCACAAATGTAATGTATATACAGTGGCCCCCCGCCTAACAGACCTCCCGTGTAAGGGATTTTCGCTGAACAGACCAGCTCTGCAAGCAGTCTTTCCTCCCGCCCTACAGACAAAATCCGCCAAA